TAATTTTTTTTTATTAAAAAAAAGAAAAAATGTATCAAAAAAAATTTGATACTTATAATTGCTTAACGAAAATGATATATTCATAAAATCATAATTTTAATCAAATAAAACAAAATTTTTAAAAATGCAAATTTTCGTTTTTTTGATTTAAAAAAATCAGTTAATCAATTAATTAATTATTTAAATCAAAAAACGTAAATAGAAAAGTAATATTTGATTACAGTGATCAGATTAGTAATAAGAAATAAATTTTATGTATGAAAATCGCTACATTTAGTTCTACTTCATTTAAATAATATTACATTTAAGGAATATTATTTATTGCGCTTTTATTTTATTTAATTATTGTGCCTTGACTAATTAAGCAATCAATTAATTAGTCAATTAAATGATCTAAATATTTAATTTGAACATATTTTACCAAGCAAAGACTTTGTTTTATTGAATTATTAGTGTGAGAACTACTACTTTGTTTAAACTTGTACAAATGGACAGTATTTTCAATAAGTTAACTTTCTTATGAGTATACTTAAAATACTTTAAGTAGAATGCCTCTGTTCATTTTATAGTTTTAATTTTGCCGATTTGCTCAAAAAGTTACTGTATTCATCAAACTTTGCTCCTACTGTAAAATTAAGATTGAAATATTTATAATTATTCAATGAAAATGATTGTTATTTCATGTAATCATAAATTTTAGTAAATAAAACAAAATTTAATAAAATATAATGTTTTTTTAATTAATTAAAAGCTCATTTACAAAGCATTTGGCATATCCTTCAAATAATTAAAGTGATTATTCGTATTTTTTGTTTTAGCATATTTGTTTCAGTACATCTTTTCTACATCAGAAATAAACTTTGATTATGGAATTTACTTTTGAGATAAATTGATTGAACTTTGATTATGGAATAATCAATAATTGAAATGACCTCTGGAAGAAATGATATAGAGTTTAGAAGGAATTTCCATGTCATCAGATATCTCTCAAATTCATGAAGAGATTTTCGATGCAATGAGTAGATCATTCGAGACTGGTCGATAGATTCATCTCGGGAAACTTCATTATTCTCGAAATAACTTTATTGAAAAATTATATTAAATAATTTAAGGTTTGATAAGAATTTTTATAAAAAATATCCCAAAAACCAGTTAAAATGTTTGCTTTTTTTGGTGTCACATTGATATAACCGTGTCGCTTTCATTTTTCTGACTTCTAACGCCCAAAATATTTCAGAAAATTTAACAAAGTATAGCAATTATTGTTTATACGACAACCTAATCGCTAATTAAAATCTGATTAGTTTCAAATTTTGATTGGTTTTGTGTAAATTTAAATTATGAACTATCGTACTTGTTATGGATTTTTTAATCAGTTCACGTGAAAATTAATTTGTTGTATTTACTTATTAACGTTTTATAATAAAACATATCACTGACTTTTTTTTTGCAAATTTATTATATGGAAATTAAATTTATTATTATATACAGCATTTTACAAATTTCATTTATTCTTTTTTTGTAATAAAATAAATTTAAATCCGAAAACGAGTTTAAATTTGAATCATTCAAAAAAAATTGATATTAAAAAAAATGCTGCAAGTTTCATTAATAAACCTTTTATTATGAACATATCTCCAAGTTGTTTGAGCACATCTCTCCTTATTATCAAATGTGTGTTTTAAAAATATTTTTATTTTTTGATACTGTAGTAACTTTTTGCAAAATAAACTCTATTAGTAAGTATTGATTGGATATTGTAAAAATTGCTGCATATAGTTTTCAATAATATGAAAAACTGTTATAGTAGCAGTTCAGATTTATTTACGCGCCTTATTGTTCAATTTTCAAATCCGCAATCGGTAGATAATTAAATCACATTATCACGGTACATTATCACGTGACACTAATTAAGTAATATACTGATGCCCATAAATTCTTATTAAAAAATCAATAACTTAAATGAAAATTTTGGAAAATTCTACTAAAGTAGAATTACATCATAATAAAATACAAATAGACGATGAAATACTTATTTTGCTTCTTCTGAGTTACTGTAACATATACCCACGTACAGTAATAATATTTAACGCAATCACATATGACGTTAAAGCTAAATTTTTAAAGATTATCATTCAGAATGTGCTTTCTTCAATATATTTTGTTTTTATCACCACTCGCAACAATCTCGATTAGTTGGCCTGACGGTGCTCCTTGTATTCACTCTGCTTTTGAATCTATGAATCCACTAGAAGCAGTAGAACATCAAGGTGGACTGCAGGTATACAGTATGCTTTATGTAATTCACTGTACTGATTCGAATTCTTTTTTCAATTTATTGGAGTTTTGTTAAGAACATTAAAAAATATGTCTTAACTTGTTATGTAATTTTGTTTATTTCTTCTAAGAACTAATTCAAAAAATGCTATTTAACTAAAAAATACCCAAAATATTTGCATATTTTTGACTTCCTCATTAATAATTCATTTTAAATAAAATTTTTTAATAATTAAATAATAATTTAACTTTGTAACTTTTGCATTTTTACTTCTGTTTTACTTTAGCTCTCTGATCCACCTTATAAAATTGACGTAAAAGAAAAATGTTATTGGATGAATCAGCCTATTGAGTGTAAGTTCTATTAATACTTTTTTGTATTAATTATTTTTACAGTTATTATCAACATTAATTAGTGAATGTAAAATAATGAACATATTTTTTATCTTCAAAAACATTTCAGTACAATTGGAGGGCTAAAAGTAATAACAATATTGGTAATAGTAACTAATCTTCCATTAATAATGCTTTTAGTAATAATTATTAGCATAGTACTGATAATAGTAAAACTTTTTTTAAGCATTATTAATTAATAATACCTACAGTCAGTCTGAAAGGAAATACAAGTATTGACCGTTTTCGTGGTTTTGCGATTCAACCAATTTCTTATAAAGGACCGCGTCGTGGAAGAAGGTTTATAAATTTATTATTGAAAAAATTTTTTTGATTATTAGCAATTACTTATTTTATACTGAAAAATGTTTCTAGTTAGATAAATAATTTTATCACAAAGTTCAGATAATCAAATTACCTTAATTAATTAATTATTTAATTAAATCATTTGATCATACATTTTGGTACAGATCTGAATTTTTGGTACTGATCAAAAATATTATTAAAAATATGAAACTTTCATTTTTGCTTTAATTTAATTCTTCAAATTTTGTCAAAGTGCTGAATGATAGAATAATATATCTGAATTTTTAAAAAATTATGCTTATAAGATGTGTTTTTAATGACTTAAAAATTTAATTAATTACAGAGTAAATTAAAAAATAAAAGAATTTAGCTCAATTGTTTATTACTTAAATGTTAATAAAACTATTTTTATAAAGTTAATTTGCTTAAATTTGCACTAAAATCATTTATTTAACATTATCCAATACTGTATAAAACTATTTACTACGTGTTTAGAATCGAACTGCTTAAATTTGAAATAAAATTGTAGCATATGCAAATTTGAAGCTCTAAAATTGCATAAACTCACTGTATTAAAATTTGCATATTTCTGAAAATAAAAACATAAATTTAAAAGAGTTGGAAAGTTCATTCGATTGGATGACAACGGATCTTGGCAGCATCAGTGCTTCCGTTTCAAGGATTCTGTAACTCACTCGCATGACGAAAAGAAAAAAAATATTAAATTATGGTGGAAAAATGAAATAAATGACGATGACTACGTACAGTTTGTGTTAGTTACTTAACTATTTTTAATATATCAGAAATTAAATTTGATCTGCACAACTATTGACTTAGTTTATTATAATAAATACAGTGAGTTAGCATATTTAATTTTACTCCATTTAGCAATTTATTTTATAAAAATATCCAAATATTATAATTTGGCATCAAATTAAAGGTATGCAGATCATTTTAAATTTACTTCAAATCTTGATTCATTCATTGATTAAATTCTAATCAATAATAAATCAGCACATTGAAAATTAAATCATTTTTGAGCACTTATATAATAAATAATCAGAAATATTTATTGTTTTGAAATTCATGGATAAAAGTCAAACTTAATCTTACTGTCTACAGCTGAATTTCAATTTAAATTTGAAATTTTTTGTAGAAATTCTCAGAATTTAACTGATTTTTAATCATAGATTTTGAATTGACAAACCTTCTAATAAGTAATATTATAATATTTAATATATATTTTTAATATCAGTTTTATAGTAATATTGGGTTCATTGCAAATTTATTCTGAAAAATTTGCATAAAGAACTGTTCAATTGAAAATCTGTGTTACTGTCATTTTTTATGAACTAAAAGGATTTATCACACTATCGTAAAAATTTTATAACTAATTTTTAAAACAAATTTATTGAAATAATCATCATAAATTATATTGGTCAGACTAAATCATTTATAAAAATCATAATTTTTTATAAAAACACTTAATAATAAATATTGTTATTACAAAGTATTCGATGCTTCTATGAAGCAAGTTAATTTTGAATTATCGAACATACTATTTGCATATAAGTTAACCATTACAAAAAATGTATGCCTAATTTATTACTTAAATGAAAAAAAAGGTCAACAAGTTACATTTTTTTGGCTTTTTATGACCTTACTGAAATATTTTTGTATCAAAAATATTGTAAATTCTAATTAATCAGAAAAAATTTTGTATAATTTTGTTCAGGGCGACAGTAGTCAAAGCTCAAAAAGAATTTTGGGTAAAATCAGTAAAATCAGTACCGATCCCGCCATGTCGTTTAGAAAGAAACGGTATGCAAGGCTATATTCCAGATTCAATCACGCCACCACCTCCGGTTCGTCTTTTTGCAGGAAAACTTGATATTTAAAGATACTGTAACCAGTACAATTCTGCTTTTATTAATTTGTAAGAATAAATACCATTTTATTTGATAAACGTTGTTGATTAATTCTTCTGAGCTTATCAATATGTGTGATCAAAATAAATGCTATTCTTTCAAATATTACAAAAAATATTGAAAAATTTTCATCTATAAAATCTAAATAAAAATTTCTAACTCTTTTTTACTCATTTTTGCTTTTTATACAAACAATATACTAAAAAATATTGTAAAAAAATATACCTGACAGAAGTTGAATATATTTGTATACATCAAATATTAATAACGTATATTTTTTAAATGAACAATTTTGATTTCTTTAGTTTGTAAAGTATAAGTATAAGTGTTCAACCTTTAACCTTGAGATTTTGAATAATCAAGATTATAGCCCTAAAATTAATCAAAAAGTCTGCAAAAATCTGACAGAAAATTTTGAAAACATCACAGCATCTTTATCATTTATGCTTTTTAACGATGAAATTTCAAACTTTTAATATTTTCAATGACAACATTTCAAGTTCTAATTACAGTTTTTAAGTTTCACATTGAAAAGAATGAAAAATTTGATTATTTAACTGTTATTGATGCTTTAATTATTATTAATTTTCCAACATTTTCAATTAATGACCGCTACTTGTAAAGAAAATCTAATTAGTAGAATTTAAATATTTTTTCATAATTTTTACAGTAATTCGAAAGTTTATATATATAATATTTTTACGGTAATTCGAAAGTTTATAATAGTACATAAGTGATTTACTAATAGTTTAAAGTATGGAGTGTAGAAATTTTAAGTAAATGATTCTTCAGTCAAACTAACAAGTTGTTTCATGCGTGTTCTTCTGAATTTCATAAATTCACTGACGTGAAGACTGCTTTTAGGGGTTAGATCAAGAGTAATATCTTAGCTATATTACTAGCTTATTCTTGATGACTTTATTTTACCAATTTACAACAACAATTACGGTGTTTCAATGAAGTTATTGTTGTCATAATCACTGGAAATGCTTATTACTTGTAAGTAGTCATCGTTATAAAATGACTTTAAAAAAATCATTAATTTCATAAAATATAGCAATCAAAAATATATCCAATATACCAGTAAATCATTTGAGATTCAAATTTTCAATTAAAATAATATCCATCATATTTGTATTCAAAATTGGAAAAGGAAATATCTGAATTTGCAAATATAAATGTAATTACTATAACTTCATGCATTTGTATGCGAGCATAAAGCATAATTACGCATAACTGAAACTGTGAGGTAATAAGACGTAGTTACGCTAAAATCTGAATCCCATGAAGACGTGAGTTTACACTTTCTAAGAGTGACAGAACTAATAAACTTCACGTAACCATACATTGTTTTCAAAAGTCTTCTCGTTATTTGTTTAAATTGCAATTAATTTTTTCGTGAGAAAGTGATATGTTATGAATATTTAAACTTTGAATGACTTTTTCATATTTCAAACGAATCCTTTGAAAATTTCTTACATTCGTTTTGTATGTATCTGAAAATTTGTGAGATACAATAATCAGAACTAAATTAATATGACTTGGTAATTTTAGGCGAAACCATTTAAGCTTGACACCTATCGGTTGATTGATGCCATTGATGATAATTTTCAATTTGAAGTACTTCTGCGCAACGATGTTGATCAAACACCAAAACCCCAAAGAATCGAAGATTTCTTCAGAGTTAATATTTGGTTCTGTAAATTTGAATGATACTTTCAAAAATTAAATTTAAAAAACGAAAATGCTGAAAAATTTTGAAAATTATTTGAAAAATGATATTTTGTAAATAATAACTTAATATCATTGAATTTTTACCTCAGTATTTAGGTCATGCGTATAGGAGGGAATCGATCAAATGTTAAAGTTACACAACCTTTAATCCCTGCGACAAGAGCGCATACAGTGAGACCATTAACAACGCTTAGACTGTTACCCCAAGCTGTCTCTAAGCGACCATTGATAGCATCCACATTTCCAGTCCAATATCGAATTGACCGTTCTGGATCAGTTGCTAGAACACAAAGGTTCCCCGGTCCATCCAAGCCTCAAATTCTTTCAGTGCAACAAAATAAAACTCCAAATTCAAGAATTATAAATCAAGTGAGAATTTCTGAGATTTATCAATAGTCTTTATAAGGAAGGTGCTTTGAAAAGACTGTAATAATTATTGATCAAATCGGATTAATCAATTATTAATCAAGTCAAGTCTTTTGCTTTTAAAACCAGTGAATGGATTTCATTTAAGCTGATATCAACTGATATCTCAATTAAAACTAATAATCCATATTTGAATAAATTTATATCTCAACTCATTAACTAATAAATATTAGTATAAAGCATCACTTTTCAGAACTAATCTCAAAACTTTGTATCACTATTTGTAATTTTTTAATAAATATCATATTAGCTAATTACTGCAACTGAATTATAGATTTTTCATGAATTCATAGGCTTTTAATAAATACCATTTAAGGAAAGGGAGAATTACATATGTATTTTAAACACATTATTATGGAGGTGTATGGTATGATAACTTAAATATACTCCATCAATTACTTACTATTTTAATAGTAATCTGAAAATAATATATCCAACTGCGTAACTGATCCTATCCTATATATATATATATATATGCTTGACTGCGTAATAATTAACTTCATATCACATTATTAATAAATATATAATAATATGACAGAGCAATAAAAAAAAGCATATACTAATTTTAATAAATATAAAATTATAATTCAAGATGCTTTATTAATTTACTTGTATTACATAACAAATATTTCGTTTCAAAAATAGTATTACTTTCGGTTTTTAAGGTATTCAATCGCCATATCAGATCAATTACTTCTTGATTTTTAGTTTGTTTGAATTTTAAAAAAATTTAACTTACGTGCAAATACTGATCACAAGCAATTTATTTCAGACACTTTTGGCGCAGCAATCACGCTTGGTACATCAGAAGATTCCACGTACGGCTCCAAATTTTGAGCCCAAAAATTCTCATTTGCCAATAAATCAATTCCGTCAAAATTTGTAAGTTTAGTACATCTGAAATATAAACATCACGTAGTCTATTACGTAAATTACCAAAAAGAATTTTTGAATATTTCAGAAAAGCTTTTGATATATATTGCACTAGCGATTTCACGCATAAATTCTTTTTGTGTTTCCAAATATTTTGTTTTCTTCCATCAACTTTTCTCAATATATTTCACAAATTTTTTAAATTCACTTCTACAGAATTTCTTTAATAATAAAAATTGACAAGAATCAGTAGAAAAGAATCTAACATTTCCAAATTGTAATTCATTTTTAGAACTTTTTAATCAGAATAATTTAGAAATATAATTAAGTGAATTCTTTGATTAACTAAAATCCGAGAATAAATTTTGTGGCCGCAAAAAATTTGAAAAATCAACGCTCTAAAATGATTTGATTAATAATACCATTTATTTTGCATCGAAAATTATATCATTCTTAAATAAATCAATCTTTTGAAAAATTATTAGCACCAATTTAAAAGTGTATAAAAAGTTTTTTATTCAAACAAGATGAAAAACAATTAAAAATAAAATGAAATTTAGAGCAAAATTATCCGATCAACGGCAGATCATACCTGGATTGGTAAGATCTACTGATCAACATTTCGATTTTACAAGATCAATCAATCAACAACCAATTACGTCTCAATTTCAGTTTAATCAGCAAATATCAAATCCTCAACAAACATTTTTATCTGTATCTGATAATCAACGCCAATTTATTCAACCCATTGATAGTAAGCAATATTATATAAAAAATAATGTTATTTGTTCATTCACTCTTTAAAAATTGTAAATAAGCATTAATTTGTTAAAATCACTAGTTTATAGCAGAAATTATGACAAAATCAAAAAAAAAAGAAATTATGACAAAATCAAAAATTAATAAATAAAAAAGTATTATAAAATGTGCATAAAATGACAATAAATAATTTTATATTATATAATAATAATATGAAGTGGACTTAGTTATATTTGTCACTAAATCATAATCATTTTATGCCAGCAATTATCAACAATATTTAAGCCATAAGGTTTTATACAAGTACTGATCTAAATTAAGAATACTTAAAGCTGTCATTTTAAATTGGTTAAAATATTATCCATTAAAAGTAAGTCTTAATTTTTACAATTAAAGTTATAGTTTTCTATTTCAGCTTGCACAGATCTGGATGCAAATAACTTGTGTCGAGGATGGATAGCATACTGTAGCACTTCAGAATATATGCGACTGAATTGTCGAAGAACTTGTCAATTATGCTAATTAACTTTAATTTAATTATATTTTATACTTATGCAACATTATATCTGCTTAATTATATACAAGCATTGAAAAAAATTGAATGTTATTAGATATTGTACAAAGATTAGTAAAGGGATTTCAAGTACATATTATTAGATCTCATTCTGAACTTTCAATATGTTAAAAATTATTATTTAATAAGTTTTCTTGAATTATTACTTTTTTTATTATTGTAATCAAATCATAATCGATTGATAAAAGCGAGTTTTATTATTATCAATTAGTAAAGATAAAACTCAGACGATAATAATCACTATTAACTGATATGATTTTTGATTCAAAATAAATGATATTATTAATCAGATGATTTTAGAGGGTTGATTTCTCATGAACTTTCAATTTATTCTTAGCAAATTTTTGTGACTACAAAATTTATTCTCTGAACCAAAGAGATTACTTTATTACATTTCTTAATTATTTCAATTAAAAATTTATAAAAATGAATTAAAATTTAGAAATATTTTATTCATCCCTATTGATTCGTGTCAATTTTTTACTCTTAAAATAATTTTAATAATTTTATATTAAAGTTTTATTTTATTTTTGCATTGTAATATCATCAAATACTAATAAGTAATTTCTTAGATCGAATTTTAAATTTTAATTAATAGACTTTCATTTAACTTTATTACATATATTCAATAATACTATGATAGTTTCGTATTTTTATACAAATAAAATAAAATTTGAAAACTGCAGAAAAAAACGATGAAAATGTAAATTACAACTAAGAAGTGATTAAAGAATAGAAGTGATGAAAAGTAGAAAAGTATTGCATTGAATTATCAGTAGATGAAATTATCAGATCATTCTACAATTTTCATTTATTTAATTTATATTTAATGACTTCAAAAAAACCAGTTTACAGTAATTAATGTAAATTGGGTAATTAAAAAACATGAGATTCGTTTTGATGTATTATATATTCCTCAACTTTGAATTTAAATTGCAATTTGATTGTAAGTAAAGACTAGTTAACATCTAATAATCACTGCGTGATAAGTATTTAAGCAACTTATTTTTGTCAATGTTATGGACTTATATTATGGTTTTGCAGTTGATGCGAATTAATTTTGCAATATTTTCCACACTAAAAATTTGAATAAAATAAAGCGTTTAAATGTAAGTTTTTTTAATGTAAAAAAAATAATTATTCAGTGAAAAATACGCTTATTCTTGATATTGATTACAGTATATTTGAATACTTTCCATGTGCATAACATTTGAATTTTGGATTACTAATAAACCGAAGCAAAAATATACAATAAATAATAATAAAATAGATTAATTTGTAATTACATCGAAAAAATCTAAAACAAATACAAAGTCATTTTCTAATAGTTACTCCAAGCATGCAGTCAATATAGATATAACATTAGTATAAAGTAAATTGTAACTGAAGAATGTCAGGTGCAACTATGGGAGGACCACGCTATGCTAAAACAACGTGAAATGCAGTACTGCAGTAACGTGAATTAGTTGTAAGATCAGAAGTGGTATCCCTCGGATACATTCAATCGTTACGATAGGATGTCTTTTAATAGAACGATTATGCTAGCATTACCATTTGAAGCTTAGCAAATATGTGAAGTCCAAGTAGTATTGTAAATATTGCTAACACAGATGCACCGACAATAGAATCTTTATTGTAAAAGATTACTGTACACGACAGCAGCAAATTGTGAGTAGGACCACAAAGTTAAAATGGGACACATAAATTTCAAATTGGGATCATGTAATTTCTTTTAGTCATTTGTATTGTAATTCGATCTAATTAATTTTAGCATTACAAAAAGAAAGTAATGGAAGAACTTCACTTTAAGCATAAAAAAATAAAATTCGAGCAAATAATATGTTGTATTTCAGTGGAAAGATTTTTCAAAAATTCTTTGCATTCTTTTAAAATTTTTTCAAGACTTTTTTTTCTTCATTTACTGTCAATTTGATAATTTATTTCTCACGATATTTGCAATTCTATTTTGAGACAAAATTTTTGAGAAAAAAATAAAAATAAAAACATTAATCAACCATTTCTTCCATTACTTAAACAGTCAAACTTCCACTTTACTAAAAGAAAATTCTTTAAGTAATCAGTATCACTGCTTAAATATATTAAAGCCAATATAATTTGACGGGTATTAAAGGATTACTCGATGAATGTAAAGAATCAGAAACTGATCGTTTCTTTAGTTAAAAGGTCAGATGTACAATTTCAAAAAGGCCTACAGACGGTAAACAGACAAATTTTGCTATCAGTGTGGAAAAAACCAATTACAATTCTAGCAAATCCGAGATAACTAAATTATAACAAATTACATACAATAAAAACTGAAAAAATTATAAGACTAAGAGCAATTCATTATGACAACTGAAACACAGCTACAAATTTCTGTTAAATTGTACAGCTAGATCATTTAGCTGTTAAATCATTAGAACAGTTCATGTAGAAAACAAATCAGTGGTGTTGCAAATGAACGAAATAAACAGTAAATATAACTGTTGCAGTGAGGTGATTAATCATATAACTAAAGATTTCTTTAATCTCATAAGTGACCGTTGATGGAGCGCACTCCCTGTAGAGAACGCAGACAATGAAATGCAAAAAATTTAACGAAATATCATGCAGTGGCAATTGAAAAGTGAAAAGTGAAAAATTAATTTTCTTAACACAAAACAGTACTCAAGATGCAAAAGATTAAGGATTCTTAAAAATTAACGACTCTTCTTCGCTTCATGAATCTCCTCTCTTCGTCTTGTGTATGTTTCCGTTGCTTCTTCACTAAGTTTAGTGAACTGCTCAATCATTTTAGATCTAACCAAATCAGCTAATTGTGGAACATCTTCAATCGTTTTCTGTAAAAAATATAAAAATAAGACCTGAATGTTATTATAGATAATACAATGAAATGATCGAAATTGTAAACAAAACATTCGAAACATACACCAACTGTCTCGATCGGCTCCATAACTTCTACAATTGCATAGCCTGAATTCGCAAAGTATCGCATATCTTTATTATAAAAATGCTTGTACGATGATATAACTATTGGTATGATTGGGATCTGTGCCTGAAATAATTAGCAGTTCATAATGGATGCAATTCAAAATACCAAAACTTTTTATTTGTAGTAAATAGAGTTATTTGCAATAACGTGAATGAATTCAACAAAACTTCCAACGGAACAAAATCTTTCATAATATAAAATTTTATAAACAGAATTCCAGACGAGATTTTACAAACAAAATAATATGCTTACAAAAACAGCCAAATTGAAGGCGCCTTTTTTAAATTCAAGCATATGTTCCCCATGGTTTCTAGTTCCTTCTGGAAATATCAAAACGCTTAAACTTTGTCTTGTAATCTTTTTAGCACATTCTTCCAGTGACTGTAGTGCTTTTTCTCGATTAAAACGATCCACAAATACTGCTCGACTCTTGAAACTAATTCTTATCAATAATCAAGATTAAAAGTTGCAATCAAAACATTTTTTTAGATACAGGAAAATTTAAACATTCTGATTATAAGAAAATGATCTGTGATTATGCCAGTATTCTGGAATAACTTTTTTAAAGAGACAAAAAAATCAGGTTTACAACACATTACTCCCAATTTTTTCCATAACTTACCAAAACAGAGGCAAAATTAAAGAATGGTATGTACTTCAAAGACTTTTTGATCATTATAGTGCAGTTTGGCGGCCAAAAATGTGACAGAACAACAATATCGATTGAGCTCTAAAACATGACTGAATTCAAAAATCAAATGATAAACTTTTTATAGAAATTATCTGTACTGACTAAAAGTATGACTAAATTCATTAAAATAATGTTCTGATATCACCAATGCAGTTTAACAATAGACGAAATCACTGCAAATGTTTTTTAATCCACCACAAAAATCACAAATAAAGCATGAGCAATCTACCTGATTTGGCAAAGTTCATGTCTTGAAACTAAATTTGTTGCTTACGAAGTTCGCAAATAAAAAAAATATTAAGTATATGAAGACATATTAGAATCTACTATAAAATCAGGTTGAAACTGTTTTTATTCGAAAATTCTTTCATTTAACATGCAATTCGTCACTTGATAAATGAATGCTTAAAAAAATCTATTTTTTAAAATAGCCAAAAAAAACCTACAATAAAATTTAAAAACTAGCCTTATCATTATTGTTTGTTTTTAAATAACATGTCAGAAATTATAACAAGTTCTCAGTGAGCTGAGATTCAAAAAAAACTCACTAGTTATAACAGAAAATAAGAAGGAATGAAAGACAAACTAACATTAAGTAACTGAAAACAGTACCTGGTGATTACATACAAATATAAATGGCCCCGATTTTTGCAAAATTTCACCATTCCGAACAACTACATCTACGTTTGTCCACCTTGAGATAAAATTAAATGAATCGAAAACAAATTTCGGTACCTGCGAAATAAATTACAGATTACTCACAAAGGTAATTAGCTAGTTTGCTATATAAATGTGATTCAAGAAAATTAATGAAAACTTATGAGAATGAAAAAAGTATCGTAATCATGTTCTTGAAAATATTAAAACTTACATCACCGAAAAAATATAAAGGCCATGCTAGGCACACGATTACTGCATTCAGAAGTATAGACGCATAAATGCCAACCATTTTAATGTAATATAAATTTTTTGGATTGAAAGTCAAAAAGTACACTACGACAACGAGCAATGATAAAACCACTGATAACTGGCATACGAAACAATGATCGTGAGATTGTGCTTCCTCCATTGTTATCTGATTTTCTTAGCTAAAACAAAATTAGTGAAAATTTGAAACTCTCGCATATCCTTCAACGCAATTTCGACTCCTGACATCAACTTGTTACCAATAATTAAAGACCGAAAAAGCTTATAGAAGAATCCAAAAACCCCAATAATTATTAAAATTGTGATTTATAGCAGCTGACAAAATTGACTAACTAAAGATACAGAACTCCGACTACTGTTTACGAAAAATTTTCAATCTATGGAAAATCTATGTACCTTCTAGTATTGTACTTCAAACTTATACTTGCTACTTATAAACCAAACTGAGTTACAACAATTTGTTTTAAAGTGATGTTCAGAATCACAAGCAATATGGCTTTACATATGTCAATACAAGTTACTCAACCTTGCATAAACAGAAATAACTTCTTTATATTCCCGTTGATTTCCTTCAGCTAAAATTGATAACCTATGAAATTAGAAAACAATTAATAACCAAAAATGCCATAGTAAATTTTATCAATTTGTAGAAATGTTTAATACTGAGATCTTTACTCCAGCTTTAGAATGACTGAACTATCACTTCTTCTTCATTTGAAAATTGTCCCAAACAAAAAGTTATCAAGCCTTGAATTAACAATAAACATACAGAAGCAAGGAAAAAAAACAATAAATTCCACGACCCTATATTAAAACTGAAGAAAATATTAAAAAACAATTAAAACAAATGAAAATGGTATTGGAATAGTAAATAGCAAACAAACAGTGCTGACTATCATATCCGACCAACTGTGAGTTTTTTGTTTGTATTCACTTTAAAAAGTGTCATGTAACAATTTGCTTTTTTAAAGTGATGTTCAGAATCACAAGCAATATGGCTTTACCTATGTTAATATAAGTGTCTGCAATGTTCTGAAAAATTAAGGAAAATCCTATTACAATTATGAATTGGTTACTCCAATAGCAAAAGTGTCTAAAATTTTGAGCACAAAACAAATCACTAATGAATAAACACAGAAACTTTGTTATAAAATAGTTTCCACCGTAAAAGGATAACCAACTCATAATTTTTGACAAGAAGAAACAGCATATATAAAAAATACTTTCAACACAAAACTCGAGCTATTCCAAATTGCCTGCAACATTTCATATAATTAATTTGAATTAAAATATGCAATGACACAATATAATTTAGACTGATGTCAAACATTTGTACCAAAGTTCCAGAACATGACAAACTTAACAATCCTTACAGCCATATTAGAAAATTATGGCATTTTTAACAATGCTTCATAATCAACTTCCCCATTCGGGAGCAGTGGTAACTGTCCTTTATTTGCAGTTCCACTTAGCCCTATACCTGATAATGCAAACTGAGCAAAATCCATTTTACCAGGAGAGTAGCTAGTCACAGAACTGTAAATGAGGAAATTGTTACAAAATGTTTATGCCATTGAATAAGCGCTTTTCAAATAGTTTCCCTAGTAAATTTTTTTTCCACTCTGCCCTTTCAAATAAAAAGTAGAAGATGAATGAATATGAAAAAAACTACATGAAAAACTAATATTTCTAATAATTATCAACAAACCTAGTCAGCCACCACATCAAAAACGGCTGAGTAAATGCTATAAATAGCAATAAATATATTTTGCGTTTCCGTCCAGTATAACTGTGGCCACTGTAAACATCCTGTACATCCAATACAAAAGTTTTCACCGATCGCAGCTGTAATTAAAACAGCATCACAAGTCAACTATGAAGGCAATAAAAAGCTGGTCTGCAACTACTACTATTTTGCCTAATTATTATACACCTCAGTTTCTTTCCGATTTTTCTTCAGTAATTTTAAAAAATTTTCATCTTCAAAACTGCAAAACAATACTTAGATTGTAAGATTATGAAAATTTTACACAGTACATTATTTATTTTGCAATAACGAAAATCTATCTAAGATCACTGTTGCAAAAAATTAAACAGGAATGACAAACAAGCAGAATGGAGTATATCTTTTTTAGCTTTAATTTATGGAGTTTTTTACGCGCTACTTTTAGGGCAGCAAAAAAAGACATACGAGGAAAAAAACAACTGCCAAAGACGTATATGCTAGAACCAAATTGTACAATGACTTATCACCCAGTACGAAGGCTAATAAAGTAACATTCATTCTGAAATTGCAGTTCAAATGAATAGCACCTTGTTAACATATATGCAGATTTTTATGCTCTCCACCTTATTCAAGAATGAAGTGATTAGTGATAAAAAAATTCAAAAAACTTTTCGTCTATGAAGCCTAATTTTTTCTAATAAGAATTATTTAAAGAAAAAATTATTGAAAAATTTAAAGAAAAATTATTATTAAAAGCTTACCCGACAAATTTGTAGCTGCTATATGCGAGTGAATGCCAGAACGTGAGAGATTGAGATATATTCATGACAAACCTCGTTATAAACAGTATCAAGTTTTCGAAAAAAAGGTATGCCAAAGCGTTCGTTGTAATTATACCCAGCTGTTCAGGGGTAAACCTGAAAGACAATATTATCAAGAATGTGATTTCGATACTAAGCCAATGTTTTCTAATTAATCAACCTTTTTTGTGTTCCTAGCAGAAATCCAGAAATAAGAATATAAGTAACGTAAGCCATTAATGGAATATATAAATCAGGTGCATTTACATCCGATCTTGGAGGTACAGGTGAATCAGATGAATCATACTTGATAGCCCAATCCTGGAAATGTGCTGAAATGATTTAAAGTAGACCAAGAAATGAGTGAACTGAGTCATGTAAATGGAAAAAACTTACGCGATGCAAGAAAGGAAACAGTATAAGAGCCAACTTCTTTCCCACGTAAGCATTATCGACGGCGAAATAATACTTTAGTTGAAAAGCAGAAAGATATTTTGTTAACTGAAAATTAAGACTTTATTTCAGTTCCTTCGAATAATAATTTTGCTAGTTATTGTAGATGAAATATACATGCTGCGAAAATTTTGTAGTAACAAAAATAAATACTTTTTCCTTTTGCTCAACGGCAAACTGACCCCCGATTTGTTTTGCAACATTCAACATAGGATCAGATATAATTTGATTGGAAAAAGACTGCATATTCACAAAGTCATACGGATCTGCAAGACAATATCGAATATTAAAGCAGAAATTTGAGAATTAAAATACATAAATACGAACAATAATTCAGATCCATTCAAAAATATATTTAAATCATACCAATCACAAGCCATAAAACCTCATTTTTTTAATTATAAATCATCGTGTTAATATGAAATTCAAGGTTTTAAAAGAAGCTATGCAGACTGAAAATATTAAATGTCACTTGCTAAATTCGAATTCAAGTGAATTAGCTGGATATATTCAAATAATGAAGATCATAAGTTTATAAGATATTAAGTTACGTAGTTGACAACTCACTGGTACATAAAATATAACATCTAAGGCATTGATTAAACCAATTATAAAAAGGTGCAATATTTTTGACAATGCTTCAGGTAAGAAACCAATCAAGCAAACTTTGGGGTCCAGCTCCGAACGACTGCTTTTGATTAATTTGAGAATAATAGTCGGGTGGTGCAGATACTGGAGGAGCAGTATTTTTTTTAGCTTGTTGACCATAGAAAATGCCAGTATCCGATGGTGGCATTGTTGTCGGATGACTGCTAAAAACAATAATTTGATGAAAATAGAGATTACACAGAAAACTGCTAATTTCAGGCAGTAAAAAGTAAAACAATACATACCGTAGTAAATAAGTAATCATTCAAAAATTATAAAAAAGACGACTAATCAATTTTAGCTATTATATTTTGCATATTAAGTACAAGTCAAGACTTTTCCAACGAATTCAATTAACCTTTGGACACGATTATGCCAGGGCTCATTCCCTTGTTGCTGCGAATACTGACTATTATAATAGCCAGTGTAAGCATTGTCATCATTCCAACCCCAATTCGGATCTGTCATTCCTGTATTATTCCTAAAATTTGAATGAATATAATTGCATAAAATGCTAAGAGAAATTTTACAAGCATTTTGGCCAGCATAGAAGTAAACTATTTTCTGATTATACTTAATATATTAAAAAGGCTAAAAACACTCAAAGTCTGATCTAATCTTTAATATTCAGTATACTTTATTTGACGTCAACTTATACGAAGAAGTTGAACAAACTTCATAGAAACGAGAATGAAGCAATTCACATTGAACATGAAGTCTAGACATAATAAATACATTAAAATAACTTAGGAATCCATTTACTAAACAAAATTAAATATCTAAAATTAGCTTTAAAATAAAGAAGATTATTATATCTGCGTTCTCAAAAATTAATTCTCTTGTCGCTATATGCAACAGAAGATCCCTCTCGTAAATTGTCATACTAATAATAATTGCGGAAGCAAAACATCGCATATCAAAATATGTGTACATCAAATTATGACGTCAAATCAAAATGTAAAAATGAGGAAAAGGACTTTCAGTAAAATTTGTATATTGGAGTATTACTTTTAATAAAGCATTTTTTTAAGTAGTAAATTATTTTATTATTTTCAATATTATATTCCTAAGGCAGTGAGTTTTTACTTCTTGAGTTATTTGTTCAGCTACTGAATCGTTTTAGTCATTTTGACTGTTGTAGAAATCACAGAATTAGATATTTTCACAGTAATATTATTGCTTTTTCAATTTTTTTACTCACAGAAGGCTAAGATTACATACAAAAAGTAATAAGTTTACTAACGAAAAAGTTGAAATAATTAAAGTTAATTAAATAATATAATTTATTTGTTGCGTTTTAATATATTAACAATTTCACATCTATTAATAACTTTAATATTTCAGTTAATATATTTGAAATTTGATTGACAAAGCAAAACATTCGTTCAAAATATGCTGAAAAGTTTAAATAATAATAAATATATTAATTTTTGAAACTTTCATCAAATAAATGCTAGAAATAAAAATAAATATCAGCAGTTTTTATTAGAAGTTTGTAAAAAATATCTTTACAAGCTTCTAACTATTATTATTATTTTCTCTTTCGTTGCTTGCTATTATTATGACTCTTGATGTCCTTTTATTATTGTTATTATTTATTATTATTAATTAAATTGTTATTATAATTTGCCATTATTATTCTCGAAAACACATTTTTTT